TGTCTTAGCCATTTTTGCCTCCCTGCCATGCCTGTGGCACATAGTGGGCTCTCAGTGTGCATTAATTGCTTGAATTGTAACCTGTCACCTCAAATAAAGCTCATGGCAGGAATGCAGATGTCAGGCTCCACTTCACCTCTCACTTTCCACTGCCTATATCCCTAGGCATCTGGGTGTTAATCAAAGCCATATATCAAAAATAGGCACTGACATATGTAGTAATTTTACCAGCCTCAGGGCCGTCAAAAATTAATTTGTCTACTTTCCAAATGAACAGTAACTTTATTAAAATTTCCACCTCTGACAAATACATAGTGCATTAATTTTTCCTAGGGAAAGGAACTGCCACCGAGGTGTTATTTCTAAAACATTTGTCACAACAAGTCTAAATTACTAAGATAGTGCTTAGATTCAAGCTAGAGGACATGTAAAAGGCCAGGCTCCCAGTTTTTGACAGGAAAAAAATATATAGAAAAGTCATTCTAATGCTAGCAACCATTTCTCCTGCTTCAACACTTAATTGGGCTCAGGGACTGCTATGTTAGCCTGGGAATAATGCACTGTGTTTTGGAAATGTAATTGTTTGTATTAATAGAATGCTACTGTACAGAGGCTCCAGGCCAGCATGTCTGGACTTGGCCACTTCCATTGATTTACTTAACACTGTCCTCAGGAGCATAAACAGGGTAGACACCTTAGCCAGTGAGAGATCACCGTGGGGCAGTGTCAAAATCCTTGTCAGTTCAATAGCAATAAGAACAAGATTAAAGATCAGGTCTCCGAGTACTTAAAGCCAAGAACAAAAGGGGGAAGTTTATTTCCCTAGCTCCTGTTTCTTCTTTCTGTGCCCTTTGCCTGGCTACCACACCAATCCCACAGTGGGTGATACATTTCTTTACACTTGGTCTTAATGTAGGCTCTTCCCAGAGGGAGTTGTATTTATATAGAAGTTACTGGGTTCAAAATAAAGGATTGACATGCTAGTAGTAGATAAATCTAAAGATATTCATGCCAAGACACATCTTAGTCAAAGTTCTATAAACTAAAGACAGAAGAAAATATTGACAGCTCTAAGGGAGAAATAACACCTGGCTCAGAGGGGATGGGGGAAACAGTTCAACTTACTGCAGATTTCTCATCAGAAACTGTGGAGCCAGAAGAAAGTGGCACAAGATTGTTAAAGTGTGGAAAGAAAAGATCAACCATAAGTCCCACATCCAGGAAAAATATCCTTCAGGAATTAAGCCGGTAATTTATGTATTAGAGGGTTAAAAGTGGGGCAGAGTGCATAAGATTGCCCAGTACCATCACTGCAATATAAGAATTATCCCCCCTGTTACTAGGTATTGATTACTCAAATTGATATATTAAGCTAAAAATAGTTTAGTTTCAGTAGGGAAAATCATTTTTTCATGACTCTGGGTTTCAAAACACAGAAAACTCTACCTAATGTACCTCTATAAAAGGGTTTTATTAGCTCACATGGCTAAACCCCTTCAGGCATAGCTAGATTCAGTGATTCAAAAACCATCATCAGGATTTTGTTTCTCCCTACCCCTCAGTTCTGCTTCCTCAGGATGTCTGTATTGTTTTTGTTTGTTTGTTTAAAAAGAGATGGAGAGAGAGAGAGAACAGGGGAAGGGCAGAGGGAGAGGAAGAGAGAGAATCTTAAGCAGGCTCCATGCCCAGTGCAGAGCCAATGCGGGGCTCAAACTCATGACCCTGAGATTATGACCTGAGCTGAAATCAGAGTTGGACACATAAATGACTGAGCCACCCAGGTGCCCCCAGGATGTCTGTATTCTTAAATGGGCTCTCCTCTTACTCAGAGATGGCTGTCAGCAGTAATACAACTATTATCTTTCCATATCCTATTCCAGTAGGAAAAAATGAGAGTACTTGTCCAACATTTCCAAGAAAAGCCATAAAATTCACTCTGATTGGTAAGTTTAGGATACAAGTCCACACCTGGAGTAGTCACAGTAGCCAGACGAATGCTGTGTGACCATTGATTTAGGCCTGGGTCTCAGGGCTGGAGGTGGAATTCCATCCAGGAAGTTGGACTGAAGTGGGAATGAAGTTGGGTCTCTATATGAAAATTAGGGTCCACTGGCAAAAGTAGAATGCTTGCTGGGGAGGCAAACAGCAAATGACCTCCATAACCACACCTAGCCAATCTCTTGGAGTTGTTTGATGCAGAAAGTTTGTATGTTGATAAAAGGGTACCAATGAAATTTATTTGTTTAGACTACCCAAAGCATCCTGTGCAAGACTCTACAAAATCCCAGTGGGTTTTCTTTTAAGTTTTTTTTAAAGATCTTATTTATTTATTCCAGAGATGGAGAAATAGAGAGGGAGAGAGAGAAAGAGGGGGGGGGTGAAGCAGAGGGAGAGGGACAAGCTGACTCCACATTGAGCACAGAGGCCTATGCAGGGCTGGATCCCACTACCCCAAGATCATGACCCAAGCCAAAATCAAAAGCCAGACACCCAACTGACTGAGCCACCCAGGCACCCCCAAATCCCCATTGTTTTATCATGAATGTGGGATTAATTTAGAAGTGAGAAACAAAAAAGTAGGGATAAATAGGACATTTGAAAGGAGATATAAACAGTGAGATACCCCAAAGGCTGGTCTGATTTAATACTTCAATATGTTGTGGATCAGGGGTCAGAAAACTTCTATAAAGGACCAGATAGTAAGCAATTTTGGTTTGATGGGCCATACATGTCCTAGCATGAAAGCACCCATGGACAACATGTAAATAAATGTGTTTTGGCTGGGTGCCAGTAAAATTTTATTTTTAAAGCAGGCAGTAGGCTGGATTTGGCCCACAGGTAGTACTTTGTTGAATCCTGTTATAGATGGATAGTAATGTACTATGTGGGAATATGGGCTCTGTTGTTAGATGTGTCTGGATTTGAGTCTTACCTCTTACTCACTAGTTCTGTGTTCATGGGTAATTTCCTTAACTACTTTAAACCTCAATTTCCTCATCTGCATAATAGAAATAATAATAAGAGATATCTAAGAGAGTCATTGTGAGAATTAAAAGAGAATATGCACATATATCAGAGTATAATGCCTGGCACATGTGTAGTAAGTGGTCAGTAAATTGTAGCTATTATTATTATTATGAATAATTGGGGGAAAACTGTAGGAAAACCTTGTGAGAGGGAAGAAAGATAAACTTCAGTGTTGTTTTAAGGATACATATTTATTAAAACATTCCAATTATATTTTTAGAGTAGTGGGATTTGTGTCATCAATTACAATTTAGGAAAGAGAATTACAGCTTTCAGGGAAGGGTCCACAATGACTCTTCTCTCAAGATACTGATGAAACCCAAAAATTCCCCAGAATTACTGAATGCCATTTTAAAACAATCAGTAATTTTTAAAAAGTTATCTTGTTCAAATTTATTTTGTGTCCACACCTGGAATTCTGCATATATTTGTAATGATTATCCTTCACTAAATACAGAGTAGAGCTGGAGAAGATTTAGAAAGGGCAAGCTGGGGAGATTATTGGTTTATATGGGTGAATGCATGAGGGCCCACTATCTTTAAATCAAATTTATAACACTGACCTTAAAAAGGTGTGGTGAGTACTAAATGCCAGAAATGGATATTCCATTTTTTAGTAATGTGAACTTAGTGAGTATCATTAACAAATTAAAGCACTCAGCACAGGGCCTGGCATAAAGTAGGCATTCACCAACTATTAGTTCTCTTTCTTTAGGTGCACACAAAACTAGACTTTATGCTCAAAGGGATGAGTCTTCCATTCATAGGGAAAACTGAAATTCTACATGGTTCTCTACTGGGTTACTATGAAGCAAATGGGATTGGTGGAATACAGTCACAACTAGGCTTATCACTTAACTGGACCAATAAGAGAACTAGTGCCATGTTAGATATGTACTAGAAATCAGTATGCAGGAAGCAGGTTCAAGTAAACTCAAGAGTCAAAACCAATACCAGGAAGTAATATGGATAATTTAGTGCATTAATTCTCAAAGTTATAGTGGCAAACAATGACTGGACAGCATAGTCTAGGTACCAAGATCTTTCTACTGACTCTAGTAAATAATGTAACTCACTTCTGGGACTTTTGTTTTTAAAATGTGGACAGTGAATCTTGCATGAAGATGATATTGAGGACCCATGACACTATACTCCCTTGAAGGTTTTTCCATTCTCTTGGCCAAGTGAGACCTAAGCTTCATAGGGAGGCAATAAAACATACCCACCAATGTAGAAGGCTTTACAGATATGACTTAAACTCCCAGAGCTCTCCCAAGGGTGTTAGATTTTGCCAAGACGCTGGTATATCCTAAATGCTCTACTTTGTTTCAGCGATGACTATTGTGGTCATAGGCTAGATGGTGCTGGGTGGAAAAGATCTTCCAGAGTCCAGAAAAGGGTGATATCTGTTTTACCATCCTGGATAGAGGTAAAGGCAGTGACGGCATGGGTCCTATGTGCTACCATTTGGACAGAATAGAGGTGGTGAAAGTTAGGACAATTATACACTCCTCCCTCTTTAAAGGTGCTTGTCAGAGGCTCATGTCTATAGTCATGTGTCATGTCTTCATCCATGATGGTATATTCTAATGGTTAGACTGAACTGTGTAGTATTATAAGAAGTAATTACTTATGGCAGATACCATGGTTCTGGGTGTGAACGGAGGTAAGTGCAGGAATTAAAAAACATTGACCTTTCAGAATTTTATTACAGCTGTAGACAAATGAGAGACATAAAAAAAGGAGGATGACTGTTGATGTAAGATTCCCAGGGAGGCCAATCTTGAGTGGACTCACTATGGTTCACACTGTGGTACTGACTTTGCATTGTGAGAATCTTATTTTTTTTTCCAGTGCACTCAGCAGTGATTAGGATCTGGAGGATTGACACTATTAAAACCCACAAAAAACTGATGTATAAGCCAAAACCAATTTATTTATTTATAATGAGAATTAACTGCTAAACAGGCTAGAATACTCATGTCAGCTGACTAGCAAATTTTCTCCCCATAACAAAGTTTATATGGGAACATAATTACAATCAGATTACTTCTTAACACATAGGATCTCAGCAAGGGGAGTTAGGTGAATAACACAAATTGGGATGGCCTGGTGCTTCCATCCCACTGTATATAGACCTGCCAAATCATGTTGGTCAACATCCCCTCTCTGAGTCTAGAGATTATCAACTCCCTATGCCTCTTTAATTGCCCCCTTTTCTAGACTCCGTAAAGAACATTCTCTTGTTAACAATTCCTTCTTCAGACTTATCATAAAATGATTAGATCTTATCTTGCTGGATGGCATCAATCATGTAGCAGATCTGCCTCCCAAAAACTACAATCTTGTTTGGACTTGGGGACTCCCCAAGTCTTTGTAGTTGCAGACTACATGATCAAGTAGGTTACATCTCATTGGTTCTCAGTAGACTTTAATTAGCTTCACTCTCAGAGAAGTTCACTTTGGTGTAAGTTCTGAGAAAAACATCTGTGTAACTCTCTTTATGCTAAATAATGAGTTCATTCTAGTTGAAATGGATGGTGTCATTATAACAAAATTTTTAAGTGGTAAACAAAATGGTTGCTAGCTAGTAGACAGTAAAGCATTATCCCAGTATCCTATTCCTATGCTCAGTATGATTGTTGGATTGTATCACATAGAGCACAAGAATTCCTTGACTGGGAATTCCTCAACAAGGAGCTTCTAGAAATGGGAGGTTTTATAGCCCAGAATTAATTATCTGTTCTGAGAGGCTATGAAATCTGAAGATTTCTTGGAGAAGAAGGTGATGTTGTTGCAGAGAGAAGGTCCAAACAGGAAATAAGGTGATGCATCTTTGTGAGAGAGCATACAATAAATTGTGTCCCTAAGGTAAGGAAAGATTGGTGATGAAGCCAACTGAATGCCCCCATCAGCATTCCAAGACCATACTAGGGTCAGTAAGGAAAGTGTTTGGAGGCTACTGGGTTACTCTTTTGTTACAGAATTGGGGGTGCTAGATCAGGATACCTCCAGGTAATCCCAGAGACACTTAAAGTTCAAATAGATCCACTTGTTAGAGGCTTTCATACAATCCCAGTACCACAGTGGGAATTTCTTGGCACAATTGGAATATGAGCATTCAGGTCTCCTTGTTATGAGAGCATATGGAGTAAGGTGGATGTATAGCAAGCTGTTGATAAAGGAGACCCCTTGTGAATGCAAATAAAGATTGGCACAGTGGTTAGTGAGGCACTGATGGGAAAAACGATCTATTTGTTAGTGCTACAGGATGAAAATGGTAAGGTCCTAGGTGGGTTTAAGTACTGTCAAAGTTAGCATAATTCTCTAGGAGCAAGGCCAAAGTACAATGACACTTCATGTTCTGAGAGGTCTTGATGGCTGCTAGGGAATATGGAGTTACTGATCTTTCTTCAGGAAATCAGTTATGGGGACATACATCAGCACCAAGAAGCAGGGAACAGAGGACTGATTATTATTAGCAAGCATCAACTGTCACTGGATATCCTTAACATTTTAGAAAATTGTGTCTCTCCAGCATGGCACTACTTTTTTTCAGAAGCATTAGGAATCCATACCCAGAGCTGATGTGTGTGCCTGTGTGCCAAGAGCACAACACAAGCAATCAAACCCCACTTCTTCTTGAGATTTATTTATCAATGGTGTTGATGTCCATGTCCCAGGATTTGTCAGATGGGATGGTTCAGAAAGTTGTCTGCCATTATTTGCTTTTCAAGATTCTCAACTAGATGAGGTCAGGTGGTCCATAATGGTATAGAGCTCAACATCAATGGTAGTGATCCTAAATGGTGATCACACTGAGGCCTCTAGAGTCAGAAACTACTACAGAGCCTGACCCTAAGTCTTCAGTAGAGATTTATTTAACCAGGTTCCCTTACCTGCCAGGTAAGGCAGGAGTATATGCTGTAGACATAATAATTATGATGAAGACTCCTTCCCCAACTTTCATTAATATTTATCAGAGGTCATTATCCTAGACCATTTTGACTTGGCCATTATACATGCTATAACCTAAAGTAAGTTGTTGTAGGAAGAGGAGAGTAACCTGGAATTAGTCGGGCTTGGTTAAAAACATGTATGTGCCTGAAGGGCTAGTTCTCAAGGAAGTGGACCAACAATTCCAATCAGAGTCTTCAAATGGCCATGCCATCTGGTTTGTCAATAGCTAAGAGATCCAGGTGTTTTTTTTTGTTTGTTTTTGTTTTTTGGGTTTTTTTGAGCAAGCAGAGGTCTTTAAATAGCAACAAAATACATAGCTGTATGGAACAGTAGTAGAGTTGTGTTTCCATGAAGATTGGTTTGTGTTGAAGCTGGACTCTAGTCAATAGGCAGAGCAGGTTCCAGCCTCCAGTAGAAAAATGTTGATAGGATATGGAATGCAATTAGGAATTCAACCAAGTGTTCTAAACCAACAGGGAACTATAATATAGACCAATAAGGGTGAGGGTGAAAGTCTTGGGCCTAATCTTAGGCACAGAAGATTTAGGCCAACAAACTCAACCCAGATCTCACCCATTGGAGGGAATGGTGTTCCCAGTGCACTTCCAGGGTTGTTTTCATTGGCTCAGATTGGCCAGAGTTTCACCTACAGTCTTTCAGTACTCTTGGGGAATTGGTTCCAATTGCAGAAAGTGCCTGTGAATTGTTTTCATCATTGCCAGGTTGGGTTTGATTTTGTGATAGGTCACCAAATGAACAAGATCTGGTTGTTTAAATTCCCAGAAGCACATGAGTTCATGACTGTCTATGAAGTGGTATCATAGTTCCTCACCTTTATTTTAAATGTTAATTCAGTATATAAATCTTTAAGGCTGGAGGTGAGAAGGATATAAGTTTACAAAGTGACCTCCTCTCTTACTGGTGAGTTGGGTTATTTATCCTTGCTGGGGCTCGAGAACGTTTGGCAAGGCAATCTCTTGTGAAGTGACCAGCCTGGCTGCAGTAGAGGCACAACTGAGCTTCTTGCTGGAGGGCTCGTTTGGCTGGGGTGAGAGGTGGCTGGCTTCCACGCAACTGTATAGGTTCTTCCTTGGGTGGCAGATCTGTGGGGCTGGAAAAGGCTTGGTGGTGGATCATGGAAGCCAACACTGGGAGCTGGGTCTCTGACTGAAGAAGCTCTGGCCTGTCACTATGTTTCTTGTCCAACTGAATACACTGAGTGATCAGGTCTGGAAGGTTGTCCATCATATCTGTGCCACTCACTTCATCCTGGATGGAGTCAGCTAGTCCTTCTTGGAAGTTATCACTCAGATTGGTTTCATTACAGCTCAGATTTTGAGCAAGGAGCTGGAAAGTAGAAGCATCCTGCTGAGAGGAGGAATTGTCCTTTTTGTTCAGAAGGTCTATTTCCTGTTTTGTAGGCTCACCAAATGATTGCTGGAACTCAAGAACAAAGTTCTCATATTGTTTCAGCAGAGTGCTCTGGTCAGGCCCAGATAGGATTCCACAACTTTCCATCTGCTGAGATAAGTAGTCAAAAAAGAACTTGACTTGGACATCATCTGCAGGATTGGGGAACTTAAGAGTTGTCAACTGTGCAAGAAATCTTGAGAGATTAGCAGGGTCGTGGTGAAACTGAGAGAGATGTTCAAGTGAGCAGGGTACAGACATCATTGGGGTGGCCAGGGTAGGCATGACTTGGCCCCTCGGATCAGGATTCTCTTCAGTCAGATGCTGTATTTGTGGCTGCAGAATCAGATTCTCTGTCTGAAGGGAGGAATGCTCTACTTGCAAGGTAGGTGGTGAGTCTGTGTACTTCTCCATTGTATTCTCTGGAATCAAGTGAGACTAAGTAGAATTGAGTGCCAGTACTGGAAACCAATGGGCAGACAGTAGGGTTTCCACTGTTATCAGAGAGATAGTGTCATGAGCAAGTAGCCAAAACTGCTACCTATGAAGCAGTCACAAGGGAACCCTGAGAGCTGAATTGGAGAGATGCCAAAACTGTTGTCCACTATTCAATGTTGCCTCTTCTCATGGAGAATGCCAATGTTCTGCACATTCAGAAGAGATAAATTACCTTAGGACATATAGAGGATTTGGAATTAAGAAGACAAATACAAAAGTCACAGTAGATTTCTCTCCCCACTCCCTTTCCTTGTAATATAGGGGAAATTTGCCCTTGAACTAAGCCTTTGATTCTAAAATCTCTCTTTTTTTTTATCAGAGAATCAAAGAATTTTACAACCCAGAGTGATCTTAGAGATTATCCAGGCCAAATTCATAATTTCATGAATGAGAAAACAGAGACCCAGAAAGGTAGATATTTGCCCAAGTTCACACAACGACTTAATATCAGAGCTGGCATGCTCACCAGTACTGTTGTCAAAAATAGCACTTCCTCCAGGACCATAAATATGCTCATTCGTACATGGTACTTGAACATGACGACGGTTCATGCTCCTTTCTACTTAAAATGTAATCTGGGAGCAAGCACCATCAGCATCACCAGGGAGACTGTTAGAAATGCAAACTCAGGTCCCACCCCAAACCTACTGATTTAGTATTCCACTTAAACAGATTTGCCAGGTGATTCAAACATGCACTGAAATTTGAGAAAAGCTTTTTTAGAGAGCATGCAGCCCTAATTGGAATAATCACTGGTTGGACTTGAACCTCAATGCCCCAATCCTAGCCTGCATTGCTGTAGTGATCTGATTACTGTGGTGGTAGTTAATCCATATTTTTCTAGATTCCTAGTCTTTATCTAAGGTCACATTTGGTTGTCATGGAGATGCTTAAGATACCACAGGCAAGATGAAAAGGTGAAGCTGGGAACTTAGTAAATAAGAACAGAATATTCTTAAAAGTATAAAGATCAAAATGTTTAGTAGTCATCCCTGCATTGATAACAAGAATAAAGGAACCTGTTAGAGTTAAAAAACAAACCCAAAACATATGGCATATCAGTTGAACTATTCTGCAGTATAATTCCTCTCATTGCCCTTTCCTAGTGTAGCATACCATTTAATTGTATTTAAATTGGCCTCTAGTGGGCAAAAATGTGTATCATTGAATGTAAGACTTGATTCTCTAGGTTTTATTTGATGGCTCCTCCTCTCTGGAGCTATGGAAGAGATTACTAGAAGATTGAAACTGTATAAGATTGGGGCCCAGAAACTTACCCAAACACTGGCATTAATCAGTTGGATGACATTAAAGAACTCATTTGGGCCTCAATTTCCTCTTTCATCTAATGAGGATAACGATCTTGTCCAGATAGGTGCCCTGAGTGGCAGAGAGATGCTCTCAAGATTGTTCCAGTGCAGCTAACAATATCATTGGTGAGGCTCTTTCCTCGTCACATATTGCCAAAGTAGGGAGATACTGTCATATTCTTTCTTCCTTCCTTTCCATATCCCACCTTTCTAGGCTACCTTTCCATTTTCCAGGTGCCCATCCATGAATTTATTTCTGCCAGTCCAGCTAGGTGTCATTGAAAGGTAAGATGTTGATTAATTAATGAGGGTTAATGATTGGCCTTTCTCAAGGCATTCACTTTTTCCTCAAACTTTAATGTCTGTAAGAAACAACTTGGTCCCAATCCCCAACAATTCCAATTCAATAGGTCTGGGGTGGATGCCAGGAATCTGTACTTTTAACAAACTGCCCAGAGGATTTCTGATGTTGGTGGTCCCTGTGATAAAGCCATCCAGGTGAGCCTCAAGGGAAAAAGCCATATTATAGCATCACAGAGAAGTAAGAATGGGGAAGGGGACATATTTGGAAGTAGGAGGCCCTCAAATGACATAGAATAATAGGTGGCATATACTTCTGCATAAAGTCCACAAAGAGCCCACACTGTTCTTCAAAACTGTTCTTCTTTCCCAGACAGTAGAGTGCAAGAGTTTAGCCTGTAGGTTCTAGAGTCAGAATGACCTGGGTCCAAATCTTGGCTTGGCCAAAAGTTGTGTGACTCTGGAAAATTACTTAAACTCTCCAAGAACCAGTTTCCAAACTTTAAAATGGAGGTGATTTTAATACCTTCCTCACAGTGTTGTTGTGAATATTAAATGGGATGAAAAGAGATTAGTACAGCTTCATTCAGATGGTCAGTGATTCATAAATGTTAGCTATAATTTTGCTAGGTCCATAGTATGTTATCTGTGTTTCAGAATTTAATTTTTAAAAAGTTTTTGAAAGGTAACAACACAGAGTATGTACTGTTTACTATATAACACTCCCAGTGGTTCCTGGGAAAATATCCCATAATTAAGCCATTAATTATTCAGGAAAAATGCAGGAAACAATGTCTGAATATTCATACTAAAAGAGACAAGGACTAAGTTCATGTCAGTTTAGGTCAGATTTGATATCAAATTAATGAAAAATAGCTTCTGTTATACAGAGCTCTTTGATTTCAGAATTGAAGATAAGGGGTATGGACCTCTCTACCAAATTCTTCTTTTGGTTGGAAAAGTGTGATTACAACTTTTCTTTCTTTGTTCCTGCCTTCTGCCCTTTCCCTCTACCCTCAGCAATTCCAGAATATCTGTAGAGGTCTCCTGTTTCTTTATAGAATTATGTATTCCAGGTGGCAGAGCATTTAATTTTTCTAATTATGTAGCATTGGTGAAACACTTGCCAAAATTACAAGCATTTGTCCAAATGCAAATCATACAATGGCACTGTTGTCAATGGCAATTGCTTAATCTCTCAAAGAAAATCTATCTTGCCTTATCATTTTGGAAATTGCTCTCCTTTTAGAGGTCAATGACCTTCTATTAGATTGTCCCAGCAGATCCTGGGGTACAGAATGTCAGTCTGGAGGAGTTCCAGACCTCAGTCTTGGGGAGATAAAGCAGAGACTGAGCTGGAACCTCAAATGCACAGGTTTGGGGAATCAGACTAGTGAGCTTGGACCAGGTCTGACATAAAACTGCATATGTTTAAGTTTTTCTTGATTGCCATGTGTTTCAGCTACAAAACAACAAGGCAAAAATAGGTTTAGTAAACTCTTAAAAGCCTTTTGGTGTTTGTGTTCAGTTTGACTCAAAGCCATGGTTGACAGTTTCCCTGCATGAAACTACTCCATGCTGGAGTCCCCTGAAACTCCATTTGGGGAAGGGCCTGAAGTACCTTGCTGCTTTATAAGTGAGCTTTATGACCTTACACTACTTTATTTCCAAGCTGTTCTTCACAACCCTTTGGAGAAGATTTCAACTACTGTCATCCAACTACCCAGAGCACTTGCATTTTTACTCTTGAGCACCAGACATTCTAAGGGTAGCTGTGGCCATGAGAGATAAACTGAGACATAAACAACCCTCAAGAGGTAACCACAGGGGCATACTGTTTAGATTTGTCTGGAGACTTGGGTATGACCCTAGCTCTGCCATAATCTAGACAGACAACCTTGGGCAAGTCACTTCCTCTCTCTTGGCCAGTTTCTGTACCCGTACAATGAAGGGAATGGGTTTCTCAAATTTTATCACATATAAGACATTCTGATTCAGGAAAGCTAAGAGGAGACCCAGGAATCTGAATTTTTTATAGGCATTCCAAGTGATTCTGTGGTAAGAGTCCTTCAGATTTTACCTTGGGAATATTGGGTAACTGACCACACAGAGCTCTGACATTTGTCGGAGGTTCTCAAGTTTCAGGGTATGTAAGAATCTCTTGGGAGTTTAACATGCAGATTCTTGGGCTTCACCCCTTGACAGTGTAACTTAATGGGTCTGGGGTGGGACCAGATAATCTGCATTTTAATCAAGCTCTGCAAATGATGCTGATGCAGAAGTTTCTCTGATAACACTTGAGAAACTCTAGGTTGAATACTCTCAAAAGACTCTTTCTGCTTCAGCACTATCTACGTTTTTGAAAGTAGAAAATATTTGGCTCCTAAAGTAGCCCCTGAAGTGTGTGATATGTGGATTGCTTCCTTCCAAGGCTCTGCCTGAGGCCGTACGGTCATGTCTAAACAGGAGTCTGGTGCAGGCCTGGCTCAGGAATGTGAAAAGTAGCTGGCTTGGGGACAAGAGAGAGGGTCACAACTGAGCTGACCCTGCTCTCAAGCTTTATGGTTCCTATTGGGAGGTTTGCATTGCTCTGCTCTGCCTGTGAGTGAGGCAGAAAAGCTGTCCATATATCCCCATATTAGAGATTGAGCAGCAGCAGTCCAGCTGGGGTCCAGCTGGGGTCCATCTGGCCACCGCTATGACTCAGACTTCATACCTTCCTTGAACCTTCAACCTTTCTTTTGGCTCAGCTGGCCCCATGGTCAAGCTGCTTAGGAAGTTAAATGTGTCATGAACACTCTCTACAAGCATTCTCTGGCAGTTTCCCAGTTGTCCTTTCTAATGTGCATAACGTCATTAGGGAGCCACACTTGTTCCATCAGCCTTCCTGCTCCATGCGCCTATTTAACATTCCTCCTAAGGTCGTATTTCCCTGTCTCCTCCTTCCCCTGCCTTCTCCCCCTTGCCTACTGTCTCTGCATTTTAATCAAGCTCTGCAAATGATGCTGATGCAGAAGTTTCTCTGATAACACTTGAGAAACTCTAGCCATATCAAATGCCTGAATGATCTTGCTCATTCACCAGCCAGAACCATGGCTGATAACATTGTCCCAGCAGTACATGACCCATTTGCCCCATTCTTTTCTCTCAGTCCAGCAAAGAAGAAGACCTGGAAGAAATGGGTGAGTTTTTATACGAAGGCAAAAATCTGGAGGCTGGGCAGAGGGCAAGATTGGCCACTGGGCAGGCATCATAACACAGTAACAGAGTATTATGAATAAAACATTATCAACATATAAAAGAGCATTGCATAGAGTCAAAGAAAAACCCCAAAGCCAGACTCCATTTTGCCTCTTTACTATACTTGCCTACTTGGTTCAGCCCCTGAGGGGTACCAACATTATATGGGTGACGAAATGATGACTTCAGTGGAAGTAGCTGTGTTCTGAAGGTTTGCAAACTCCTGAAAATCAAGGGTGCTAGTACTTACAGCTCACAGGAGATGTTAAAACATACGGCAGATAAGCTCTGCAGCAGGATCGAGTTTTAGTCTCATTTCAGTCCTGCAAGTGTTGAGGACATGGTGGGTCTCTGACACACTGGAAATGCAGAGGTTTGCATCTGTATTTGGTAAGAATGGAAAAGACAAGTTGTTTTTATCCAGTTATATCAGACATTGTGTGGGTCTTTGGGGTAATAACACTTATGATTTCTTGAGTGCCTAATTTATACCAGTTTATATACTCTGGTACTAGCTGTCTGGAGCCTCATTTAAAAATATTCTGGGCCTGCAGCTGGCCTCACTGATAGAATGCAGTGGAGAACTGTCAATGTCTGCCACAGACTGTGGAGGAATAAATGCAAAATGTTAAACATACATCTGCCACCTCTCTATCAGACCGCATAATCCTCTTAGCAGTCCTATGAAGCAGGTATAATGATTTGCATTTTACACATAAGGAAATCAAGCCCCTACCTCCACTTCCAAACATGTAATCATGCCCACTTCTGCTTTTAATCTCTCTCTCCCCTCATCTGAAAGCCCATTTCTTTCTTCTTCCTATGCCCAGCTCACATTCAGCCTTCTTGATGCAGCCTCCTCTGACTACTCAGACCCTCACTAATATCTCCATTTCCTGAGCTATGGAAGGACATGCGATTGTATGAGCCCCCTCCAGGAGGAAGCCTCTTTCCTTTGAATCCTCATAATACCTTGCACAGGGCTGGTCCCATAAGCTTTATATAAATCTGTGTTGATAGATAGGGCTAGGGGAAAGACAAACAAAAGAATCCCTACTAGTAGTCTGACATTAAAATTATGCTAAGAAAAAGCAGACCTGGAATCTAGTCATGAAAATCTTGTCCAAACAGGAGGAAGTTGAATAAGCAAGCAGAGGCATAGAGTCTTCATAGAAGTGGCCAGGACTTGAGGGAAGGGCCAGCAGGCATTGGTATCACCAGTTCTTAGCTTTTCATTCCCCTATTTTCCCTTCTTCCTTAAGCCTCATACATCCAGTGATCTTGTTTTTTTGTAATCAAAAACAAATGATGGGGTCTGATAAAGACTTCTGTATTACTTCTAGGTTCAAGAGAGCACTCTGAGGTGAAATAGGTGATGGGGATTAAGGAGTGCACTTGTTGTGATGAGCGCTGGGTGATGTATAGAATTGTTGAATCGCTATGTGGTACACCTGGAACTAATATAACATTTTATGTTAACTCTACTGGAATTAAAACTAAAAAATGAACACCTGTTTGGGGTGGCTTAGATTACTAAATATCACAGCTGTCACATAATACAGAAATAAAGCTGCCATTGGAGTTCTGAAACTGAAATTCAGAAATATACATATAACTTAAAAGTTAAAAAAAAGAAAGCAATCTGAGGGGATGTTCTGTATAACTGAATGTGCTCTTTGCTACGTTTTACAAGAACAGTGCAATGAAATATTTCAAATTGGGACAATCTCAGTAAAGCTGGGTTGAGCTATTACCATACCCATCTAAGCATCATCTAATCAATATGTGAAGAGATTAAAAGAGCAACCAAAAAGGAATGATTAGTTTCCCTTCCCACTGAGCTTCACTGTCTATGTGTACAGAGATTCAAATATTTTAAACACCATTTTAATATTCATTATTTCATTTAATCTTGACCACAGTTTTATCATTTTCTAGGCCAGAAAACCAAGGCACTGAGATACTAAGTCAAATCAAGGGCAAGGAGGAAGTGTGATACATGTATAACTGTCTCTGAAGGACTCATGAGGAATACTTGTTCTCAGGGACAAGGGAAGAACTAACTGAAGATGCATTTGGGAGGGTGGGGGTGGAGATGGGATGAGTGTCTCCATAAAGTAAATTATGAGCTCCACATCATTGGAAAAATGTAAGCAGAGTTAGGATTACCACCTGGTGAGGACTTAGAGTGGGGACTCCAAGAATCAGATAAGAAGGCATCATAAGGATGATCTAGTCCTTTCAAAACTATAGATTCTATAACTTGCTTGAGGACACAGCTGAAATGTGGGTGATGACACTGACTGAGAGTTGTATGCAATCTAGAATCTGATCCTCAGATCCACAGCCAGCCTGACCGTAACCTATCTTGCGCATGTACCTACAAGCCCCTATTCCTGGAGAGGACTCAGTGGCTAAGATACAGCAGGCCTTGTTTATCAGTTTGAGGGCTTAGCTTGGCTTCTCTGTCCATTCCCAATGCCCCATCATTTCAAACAGTATATGCTGTTTTGAGTAAACAATTAGGGGAAGAGTGGAAAAATTCTGATCTGCAGATCTCAAATAGTCATAAAATTAGCCCTTTAAATTTGAAATGAAAGGTCTTCTCCTGCATTCGTGCTCCCTGCTCTCTTTCATCCTTAATTCATTAAGTGCAGTTCACTTTGTGCTGAATACCACTTACAACTGATGAGCTGACAGAGTTTAGACCACTTAGATTTAAACTTTTTTTTTTTTTTTTGCCTTTTCAAGTGTGCTGTGTGTGCAAACTGTGGCCCTGTTCAAGATGGAGAAAACTTAATATAAGCAACTTAGTATATATCATGTTTTTCAATTATAAGAAGCCTTATCATAGTCACAGGTTAGAGAAAAGTTTCAACTTTAGAGATGAAGAATTTGAGGCTCAAGAAATGGAAAATGATTTGGGTCATGGTTATGACTCTCTTTGCTAAATTCCAATTACAAACTCTTTCTTGTCACCCTTTCTCTCCCCTCCCAGGCTTGAGTGAGTAAATGAGCAATGCAGAGATTATAGAGTATAGTACAGAAGCAACCTTTTAATGTCATTCAATAATTGGTAACATCCCACACATATGCAGAGCATTTTATGTGATCTAAGTATTCTCCTGTCTCACCATCATTTTGATAAACTATGAAGTAGGTAAGGTGTGTACTCAACACTCCCTCCAAAGGATAAAGAAAGAGTTGTCTAAGGACATACAACTGTTTAGTATTAGATCTTGGACTAGAATCCTCAATTCTTGTTCATAACACTATGGCCTAGAAATAGTCTGAAGCAGTAGAAAAATGCACTCTGGAGTTAGACACACTTTACATTAAAATCCCAATCGATTTCAAAGCCAAAGCTATGAGACCTTGGGCAAGTTTTCACTCTGAGCCTCAGTTTCCCCATCTGTAAAATCTGTATTGCAAAGTAGCTGTGATGAGTTGAGATACTATATGTAAAGTTCCTTGTATCCAGCAGACATCGGTGATAGAAGCCACTGATACCATATTTTCTTCAGACACTGGAAGATTGAGTACCAAATATCCTCCTTACCAGCTCTAGTATCTATCTGGGGATTCTGGGGAAGGTGATTCTACCCAAGTCTCTTGGTGTGGAACAAGCAACTTAAACTTAAGCTAGCTCACTTAGCATATAACCCACCTTAATGTTTCTTCTTTGTAACACTCATATCACTTGGAATTAATTATCATATGCCTGTTTTCCTTATTAGACTATGAGCTAATCAAGATAAGAATCAACCAATTTTATTTCTGTGTCCCCAAGTCCTAGCATATTTCCTTACATATAGAGGTGCTCAGTAATTTTTTGCCAGATTTATAGTCTGCCCATGACAGCCATAGTTAAAACTAGATATTAGCAAAAGTGGTCTTACTGTTCCCCACTCCCTATGTGTCTCTTCTATTATTTTTCTCTTCTGTGAGTGAAAAACCCAGCCCTGCTCCAATGTACCTCAGTATGTTTTTGTATTATAGATGCCTGAGTTAGCCAGATAGAAATATAGACAAAGACTTGTGTCAATGGGACTAATGCTCAGGAAGGCTATACGTGAGACCTGCACTTCAGTGACCTTAGCCAGAGCAGTGAGAAGCCTTAGAGATCCTTGAGAATGTACTTTGCTTGGAGGAATGGGTTGTTTCGTTTCTTAGAAGAGTTTCAGATTAGCTCAGGCCCTAGGTCAAGGCAATTATCTGGTAAGCTTGGAAAGAAAACAAATGAGAAATAATCCAGACAAGAGTTGTTTAAAGATACGATATTTTCAACTACTCTCAAGTGAAGACAGGAGAATTACTTACCTCTTATGTGTTGTGCTCCAAACAGAATCAGGCTACAGTAGATTCTGGGGGATATAAAAAGACAAAGCGAGAAGAGGTGGGATTATTTAACATCCCAAACAGCAGCAGTAACCCTAATTCTGTGCTTATTGCTAGAGTGCTCTATTTTCACTGGCTGACATTCTCCAACCCTTTTACACTGGGGCAGACACAGAGTGGTAGAGTTTTGGGCTCTGCCAGTTGAGAGTTGTGAAAGCTTAGGCAAATTAATCTCTTTGAGCTTCATTTTCTTTTCTTTTTTCTTTTGAGTTTCATTTTCTTTATCATAAGATGGGTTCAATAATATCTACCACAGAGGGCTATTCATTTATTCAGATAATAAATCTTAACTGAATGTCTATTATATGCCAGGTACTGTGTTGGGAAGTGGAAAGTAGTAATAAGCCCACATAGACCATGGGCATTCTAGAATTACTAAAGTAATGTGTGCAAATTGCTGGTCGCAGTACCTGGCTCAAAACAACCATTTAAATCAATGGTGGCTATTATTTTAATAGCATGAGATAGAAGGTTTTGCCAGTTAAGAGCCCAGACCTGGGTTGTAGTTATAGTTCAGAATATTAGCTCCACATATTAGTCATGAGAACTTGGGCAAGTTTTTGAACCTCACATACCTCAATTTTCTCACCTGTAAAATAACTAATAAGGATCTAACTGTTTTATAAGCTTGGGAAGATCAAATAAGGATGAATGTGAAACTTTCAGCAAGTCTTCTTCCCTCTAAAGGCTAATGACTCAGGACTGAAACAAGTCTAGTTGGATCAAAAATAAAAAGCCTTTCAAGGAGAGTGTCTCTTGAGCTGCTTGAAATTTGTCTAGAGCAAAAAGAAAAGTGAAAGGAAGAACTACTGTTAGAAGGGCTGATAACTCCAATGACATTCTAAATACAGATATGGCAGGGAAATAGTTTATGGGTGACACACAAACAGTTCCCTTCTTCACATCCATTACAGGTGAGAAAACGCTGTCATTGTATATGTGGTCTTTGCTTATAATACACTCAAAATATCCCCTTTCCAAAGCCCTTCTGTCTTGAGTCCCAGATTTCAGCAAAGCCAAGTCTTCTTCTCTCATCTTGCTCATAAATCATATTTCCAATAAGACTTAGTGCTTTCCACCTACTTGTGTTTCTGTGTTCTTGATGACCTCTGTATCTAGGATGGTGCTGCCATTGGCACTTGGAGTGCCCAGAGGATAACTGGGGATACGGAGAGACCAGCAGTAACATGGTCTTGCAGAAAGCTAGCCTCTGCCTGGCTTTTAAAAAAAATCTGGGGGTATATTGGGGGTATAACTTATACACAATAAAATTCAATTTAAAATGTACGGTTAATGAGTTTTGATAAACACATACATCTGTGTAGCCATTACCATATTTGATATGTAGAATATTTCCATAACCTCCAAAATTCTGTCATGTTTCTTTGCAGTCAGTTCCCCCATCCCTGGTCCCAGGGAAATACTAATCTACTTTCTGCTTATATAGATTTGTCTTTTCTGAACATTTCACATAAATGTAATCATACAATATGTGGTCTTTTGTGATTGGCTTCTTTCACTTAGCATAGTTTTGAGGTTCATCCATGTCATGGATATATCAGTACTTCATTTATTTTTATTGCCCAAAATATTCTATTTTATTGATACACTACATCTTGTTTCACCTTGTTGATGAACATTTGGGTTGTTTCTAGATTGGGGACATTACAAATAAAGCTGCTATGAACATTAGTGTAGAAGTCTGTGTGCATGCATATATTTTCATTTTTCTTGGGTTAAATACCTAGGAGTAAGTCATGTGGTAAGACTGTTTAACTTTATAAAATACTGAAAACTATTTCCTAAAGTGGCTATAACATTTTGCATTCTCACCAGGAGTCTATGAGTATTCCAGTCATACACTCTTGCCAACACTTGGCATTGTCATTCTTTTACATTTTATTAGTGTGGGTTTTATAGAAGATCCTGAAGGGCCGGGGCACCTGGGTGGTTCAGTTGGTTAAGCATCTGCCTTCGGCTCAGGTCATGATCCGAGGGTCTTGGGATCAAGACCCGCATCAGGCTCCTTGCTCAGCAGGGAGCCTGCTTCTCCCTCTCCCTCTGCCTGCTGCTCCCCCTGCTTGTGCTCTCTCTCTGTCAAATAAATAAATAAAATCTTAAAAAAAAAAAAGAAGATGCTGAAGGGCCATGAGCCATTTGTTCTTTCTCCTACTGGCTGCTCACCATCATCCCTATCCCTATGTACTTTAAAGAATATTGTACAAAACGGGAGGAAAAGATGCATTAGGGGTAGGGCATCAGGAAAGCTGCCTTTACCTGTCCAAAGAGTCTTCATGGGGACAAGGAAGCAATCTAATTCTATGAAAGACAAACATTAATAGTATGAAAGCTTCAAAGAGGCAGATTTGGGATTCCTACAGCATAGAACTGTCTAAAGTTTACAACTGTCTAACAATAAACTTCATTAAGAAAAGAGCCTTCTGTCACTAGAGGTATTCAAGTAGTAATTGGATGAATACTTCAGGGGATGTTCTGAAACAGATAAAGGTTGAATGATCGTCCTCAAATGTTTCTATGAGAGTGTGAAGTAAACAATATTGAAATTTTGTGACTTCTGACTCTCTGCTTTCTGCCTTTTTACCTGGACTTCTGGCTGACCCATAGTCCTTAATGCCCTGATGCCATAAATATCTGGAAATCAATCCTCACTACAGTAAGCTGAAGGTTTCCTTTTTCCAGTGTCTGAGTTGTAGTACATTCCCCAAATAAGAAGTTCTAATGGTAGAATTTCAGGCAAAGTAACAACCAGTGAGTAATATATTTTGGCTAGAATTTCCTGCCTGTCACCACTCACATTAGACATAGCACCCCTAAATCATTATCCAGTCTACCTACTAGCTAATAATGTGGGACTTGACAGAAGTCAAAAAGAAAGGAAGCAAAGCTTCCAAATATGATTTTCAAAGCAGGGCAATGGATGAGGACTAACAAACTCATTCTCAGCTTGGTTTTCACATCCGCATAGACCTATGAAAAATTGTCCATCTGCCAACTCTTTTTTTATATCCAACACCCTCCAGCACTGATATGGTACTGTATGTTTTTAGAATAGTGCTTACATCGACTGACAGTTTTTTTTATATATATACCCATCAGAAATGATGTATCTTTTATTCATCTTCACACTTTAAGTGTCTGTCAGACTGTCAAGTCGTCCTATCTTCTGTAAGGATGTATCACAGTAAAGGAAACTGGTTGTGACTTGCCACCAGGCCTCAGGGATTCAGTCTGCAGGGAGACCCTGAAGAGCTGTGCCAGAGTAAAATGTCTCCAAGCCACATGATCCCCTTCTTCATAAAAATAAACCAAGAAAGAAATAGGATGAAACTGCATCAAGGAAATGTTTATTTGGATCTGAAGATGAACTTGTGTACATGAGTAAACAAAAAATGGAATCAGTATACTCAGGGATGCCGAAAGCACCAGCTATGAAATGGATTTGAGTTTACCTATAGTGGAGGCAGGGCACTGGGCTAGGTGGCCTCAAGTGTATTTGTCATAGTGGCAGCTGTATAGAGGACACTGTGTTCCTCTTCCTTCCACCCTTTTTTTTCTGTCTGGATGGCTTTTAATTATTCTCACATGCAAATATCATTTATAAGTGTGTTGGCAGATTATTTTTCAAAATCCTGAGAGAAGCATCTCTGGGTAGCATCATCTTGAAATATGAAGTCCCCTCATCTAGGTCATTCCAGGAAGATAATTGAGACACAGAGAGGGAATGTGATTGACTCTCAGTGATTCTAGGTGAAAGAAATGGAACTCTTAATTTTTTATCATATCCAACCCCAGGCCCCAGAGAGAGCACTGAAAGTCTAAGTATCAACAGTGCTGGAAACCATGGTTTTCATTAACTCAGTCAACTTTGGCCATCATTGCAGAGGATAAAGGAATGCTGAAAATTGGCCATTAACTTCACCATGGATATAGAGTATTTTAGACACAAGACTGCACTACAGCTCTCCATATGTCTACCCTTGATTTAGTTGTGTAGGTGAGGAGCTAATCTGCTGAAAGCTCTCATGACCCTACCAGTATTGGTTCAAGAACCAGTGTGAGTTGAGGTCTACTGGTGAAGCCTCTGAGGAGACAGAGCTATGAAAAACTGGGGAAAGCTAATAGGTTTCTTCCCTGATTCTGGGCTCTATATGGACATTGGCTTCCCCAATTATTATTAAATTAAAGCCTGATAGCTTCCATGATCTCCCAAGTGACTGAATTTTCCTGGGTTTAGAACCCACACTTCATGTCACAGGTTTTACTACTTTGTGAAGGATGAGAAACATGAAACACAAACTCATTTTAATTGAATGGCTTCTCTGGCTTTATCAGCAGATTAGTTTGGAAGGAATCTTTGCTCGAAGTTCTGAGTAGTTAGTATGACAACTAGCTAACCATGGCTTAAAATAAATCTATTTATTGAATCTCTGGGAAATCCATAGGATCCAGGGTCATGACCCCAAGTCAACTTGTGTTCATAAAGATGAGTAGGAACTTTACAAAGACAAAAATCATCTTTGAAAAATAACAAAAACAGGTGTTCAGTTGCTGCAGACCCATAGCCTTTTGTACCAGCCTACACAATGGGCAATGGGCCCACCCCCAACAACATTAAAAGAAATCAAACCCACCTGATGGATATGGGTTCCAATGAAAGACAACAAATAAACTCCACAACCACCACTTACAGAGTACTTACTTGGGGACAAACACTGTATTCCCTTTACATTAGTAATTTCATTTAATCATGAAAATAAGCTAATGAAGGCATTCTTAGCCTCATTTGAAGAAATTGAATCTGAAAGATTAGGTGACTTGCCTGACTCCATAGTAAGTGGAGGAGCCGAGATTTAAACCTAAGTCTATCTGATGCAAAAGCCAAAATTTTTAACTGATTATGCTGAACTGCTTGGTAGAGATGATCTGGTAACAAATATGCTGGCATTGGGGGA